CAGAGCCGATCCTGTGTTTGATGGGCCTTGAGGCAAACGATGAAAATTAGGCTTCCCAGTGACAAAATTCAAAGGTGTATTATATGACTCACTGCTAACTTAAAAACCTAACATTAAAACAACAACGAAATATATTATAGAAACGATTTATATTATAAATCATCAAACCAAAAATTTCAAACAATTAGTTAAATACTATTCGTCTTGCTATTTTAGAGGCAAAAACATCAATCAAATTTGAATAACTTAGCTGCTCAACCATTTCTTTTTCTATTGATAAATAACCAATCCATTTAATTTTTCTTGTGACATAGTTGATCGGAGATAGGTCTTGATCAACTTCAATTTCGAGAAACTTCTTTCCATAGATGCAACTGTAACCGGTATGATTAACAAAATTTTGTAAGCAATATAAGCATTTGAGAAACAAACATTCAATGTCTTCAAATAGTGTAGCACTTCAATTGCTCTTGTTGCTTCATTTGGTAAATAAATCTTCAAAACTTGTAACTACGAACATAAATCATCTCCACTGATGTCCGAAAGCTCATAATGTTCAAGATATTTCTCAAGATTCATACAAGAGTTCAACAAACTTAATAAAGTTGCACTCCTTAACCTCTTCAAATTAAACGAAAATCTAAATATATCATCATATTGTTTGAATTGTTCAAATCGAGTCCTCAGAGAAGATAGAGCTTGATCAATTATAAAAACAAAGTACTCAACTCTAAATGATTCTTCTGCTGATTGCTTTTCCTCATTATTACAGTTTTCATCAAATTGCTTTTTTCTTGGAATTATGCGTTTTTCTGTAAATATAGCTTCAATTCCCATTTCTTTGCCTTTTTTGTCGTTTCATCCATGAAAATGGGAAATTCAATTTCTCTATAATCTTCAAGAAATGAAACAAGTCCTTGCAATAGGTCGATAGCATGATCAATATCCATGGATTCAGTTTGAAGAAATTTACTCACAATATTGACTGCATGTAACAACCTGTACCACATTACCATGCCAAGCAAGAACTCAAAATTCTGAAGTTCATGTGTTGCCAACGACTCGGCTTCACTATTTACTTTAGGATCTTCGTTAGTTTCTGCCAAATCAAGTAATGCTTCTCTTATCTGTGCAGTTTGCTCCATTATAGGCTTTACACTCTCAACATGACTTTCCCAACGTGTTTGTGACAACGGTTTCACTGTCAACCCTTTTACATTATCTTTAAAAATTTGCCATCGCTTGGTAGAAGATGAAAACGAAGTGTAGATGCGTTGTATCATTCCAAAAAAGGATACAGCTTTGGAACGACAATTCACCATATCACATAACGCTAAATTTAGACTATGAGCGTTACATGAAGTATAGAAAGCTCGGGGATTCATTTCATGTACTCTTCTTTGCACACCTTTGTGCGTCCCGCTCATGTTAGATTCGTTATCATATCCTTGCCCTCTAATGCCATCAATATCCAGAGCGAGTTTGATTAAAGCCTTTTGAAGCTTAGTTGCAAGTCCAAATCCTGTTGTGTCATCTACCTTCAAAAATTAAAGTCAATGTTCTTCAAATGTAGGTAAGTTTGCCAAATCATCTACAAATCGTACTATTAACGACATTTGCTCCTCATGACTTGCATCTGGAGTACAATCAAGTATGACTACGAAATATTTTGCACATCTAACTTTCTTGACAATTGCACTTCTCACCTCATTAGCCAACAACTGTATCAACTAATTTTAGATTTTTTTGCTAAGATACGTGTATTGAATCTCTTTTGCATTAGCCCATCGAAGGTGCACTTTCATTATTGGATCAAATTCACTAACCATTTTCACCATTTGTAAATATAGATCATTGTTCTCAACATTTAGCCTCTCATCATCTCCTCGAAATGGTAAGGTGTTTTTGGCAAGTCTTTTTACAATAGCAGCTATCCTTATTAATACATGCCTCCAATGTTCTCTTTCCATATCGATCAACAATTCAACGCTTTTATCAATTGTAGTTTTTGTTCGAAGCCTATTTTTTAATTCAATCCAACTAGTCATGCAACATAAATACTCTTCATTTCCTTCATGACTTTTAGTAGACCGATGCAAATTATGCTAATCTTTGAATCCATCGTTACCAAGTTGGCCAACTCTGGTAACATTTTTAGGTGTTTTAGACAACTTGCAACAAAAGCAAAAGATCTTGTCCATAGATATTGAATATACTAGCCATCTTCTATCAATTGTTTTCCCATTTCGTAGCAATCGCTTATATTGTGAAGAATCAAAATGTCTATTTGTACAATCTTTCGGAAACGAGATGTCATCAACTCTTTTTGGATCCCTTTCAACTAGTAATCCCTTGTTCTCTGATCAATGATTTTTCAATTCCCAGGATCATCCGAATTTAGAGAAAAGCAACCCTCTTCTTCCTTGTCATCTACTTCATTAACACATGTAGGTTTCATCACCTCTTCTTCCTTATCATCTACTACATTAACGTAGACAGGTTGACTCACTTCTTCATCCGTATCATCTATTTCATCAATACATGCGGGTTGAATCTCTACTTCATTCTCACTCAACGTACTCACATTGTTGCTTTTAAAGGACTTGTCAATATCCCTTGCTTGACTTTGAATTAATGAAATTTCATTTCGTTTCCTTTTTCTCTTTTGAGTACCAGACTCATATTTAGGAGGTATGGTGTATGAGTCTATATTTGATGCCCAATGATTAACCTAAAAAACAATTGCTAAATATCTCAAATCATCACACAGTTAGAGCTTTCAATATAGTTATTATGTGCGCCTGTGCAATTGTTGATCCTCTAATAATCAATCATATAAGCCAACAAGGCTTCAAACATTTTCAAAATTTCTTCAATAACAAGTTAAGACTAGCCATTGCTTACCTAACAAGTAGAATTTCGACGAAAACTGTGGAGACAAGACTCACAACTCCTGACCCTAAAACAAAAATTTCACATCAAACACTATTACAAATATTAACATGATCATCAAATTACACGCCAATACAAATATGAACATGATAGGAATATTGATCTCCATATTCAAATAAATATTATCGAATTATGGAATTGATTTTAAGATGAAAGAATATAAGGAAGTTCAGAATTCTAATGTTTATTGATGTCGTTCTTTATGATTACCATAGCTTTGAGCTTGATAGCAAAGGTCTTTGCATCTGTCTGTCCAGCCAGCTCAAGCAATGATAAAAATTCTTATAATTAACTGCTTTATCTATACATACCAGCCAGCTCAAGCTCGAAGTTCATAATAATATATGGATAAATCACAATCCTCAAAAACCTATTTTGGTTCATTAATCTGCTTGTATGTATATATGTATACATTTGTATTATGAGAGAGAGAGAGAGAGATTCCTAGGGTTGAAGTATAACATATCCCCTCATCGCCTTCAAGACTCGGAATGAAATCATCAACGAGCACATGTGGTTTCGAATTTCCTACCCCAATTTTTGTAGCCAAATGTTCTAACAGCTCTACATCAGATGGATCAAATTTTACACCAGCAGGGATCCCATACCATTCATTAATTATCTGAATAGAAAGAAAGTCTGAGTTAAATAAAACTTAAACTTTTACCTACAAACGAATTGATGACATCGAAGAGGAAAAAAAATTCTTTATTATTGGAACAGATGACTATGTTTATATATTATCTTCTTCTAGCATAACTCCCTCAATTCTCAATTTCTATTCCTGTTTTTAAAGGTATGGATTAAGCTTGATAGTTGATTTGAGATATTAAACTCTAAAATTGGCTTCACGAGAGAAATACCCACTGCTTAAGTATTAGAAAAGTGAGTTTAAATTGGCACAAGAATTTCAACTTACATCACTATACCCACTGCTTAAGTATGAGAAAAGTGAGTTTAAATTGGCACAAGAATTTCAACTTACATCACTATTGTCAATTCGATAGCGGCAATTTGGGCATTCACAACTATCTCCACAATCTTTGATTTGAAACGCATCAGCAAGAGTGGCATTTTTCACCTTTTTAGCAAATGCTCTTTGTTAGGCAATTTGTTGTCAAACAACCCCCCGAGCTATGATGTAACCTCGATTTTATTATCAATCGGTCTTGACCATATGATTGATTAGTATATCGACATAATTATCGAGACAACCCAATCCACATTCGTGTAGACCGTTCGAAGCAACCTATTGTTAATAGTGTTGCTTACGGTTCGTCCCATTTTCTTGGAAGACTATGTTATTAATTTGAAGCCCATTATCTTTGAGTCGAGCCTTGTCTGGTCCACTAAATAACCCTAATCTAACTTACTCTGTTTGGATATTTACTTGGCTTATATTCTTGTCTTTCTCTCAGCCTCAAATAGAAGAATGCCCAACCTCTCTTTGTGAGACTGACCTCTAAATTTTCATCTCTTCTCTGTGACCTTTGTGGTTAATTGCTAGTGGGCATATTATTGTACATCATCTTCCCAACCTATAGCAACCGAAAGTGGGGCGCCCTTCGTGGTGGTATTGGAGTTGTCTCAATCCTTGGTGGCGTCGACTAAATAGGTGAAACTGAGCCCGGTTTGAAGTTGGTGTTTGCTGGAAATCGGCCCTACACTCTGCCATCAATTAGCTAAAGTCCTGCATCAC